CCCCCCCCTCCCCCAAACCGCTCCAAACAAAACCCAGACACACAACAACAACAACAAAAAGACGCGAACGAACAAACAAACAAAAAAAACCTCTAAATCACCGCTCAAAACAAAACCCATACAAAAGAAAAAAAAGACGCGAACGAATAAACAAACAAACCACTCCTAATCAAAGCTCCAAGTAAAACCCAAACAAGCTAAACAAAAAGACACAAACAAACGAACGAACAAACAAACAAACAAACAAACAAACAAAAAACTCCAAATCACAGTTCCAAACAAAACCCAAACAAAACAGCAAAAAACTTACGAACAAACAAACAAACAAAAATTTTAATCTCCAAATTGACGTATTACAGCTTCAAAACGCCTCAAAACTGCACCAACAAAACTCCTTATCTCCACAATGATGTATTGCAGATTCAAAACGTCTCAAAAATGCACTAAAAATCTTCCCAATCTCCTCACACTGATATGGCGTACGCACCAAACGAGATACGCGGATAGGAAAAATATGGGAGCGCCATAGATTTGAATTTTAATATCCTAGACCTGGCATTGTCAATGCTGCCGTGTTTCGCTCTCATCGAAAAGTACACCTCTGTCAAAAAGTACACCTCTTTACTTTATTTTAAAAAATACACTTCTTTGTACTATCACTTCTTTGCTTTATTTATCAAAAAGTATGCTTCTTTGATAACTGCTGAAGATATCAAGATAATATTCAAAGAATAGCATTCGAAAAAGCTTGAAATACTTTGAAACTCAAAATCTTGGACGTCAATTTTCTCAAAACTAGGCAGAAAATCTAGTGAGCAGGTAAAACTTTGTAATTCTAGGGTAACAAAATGGCGCGGCCCATGGCGAACAGGAATGACGTCACAGCACACAGTCTTGGTTATTGTAATACGTCTATGGGAGCACCCACTTTCCATTAGAAAATAGAAAAAAACAAAAAAAGACAAGAAAAGACAAGAAAAGAAAAGAAAAGAGAAGGAAAGGTATAAAAGAAAACATAAGGAAGAAGGGGGAAAAGAGAAGGGG